CAAGCGAATACGATACGATTACCACGCGAAAACCATGCGACTTCCAAAAAAAAACCGTACGATCACCATACGCAAGTTACCATACGAAAACCATACGACAACCAAAAGGCTGCCACACGAAAACCATACGAAAACCATAAGATTACCATTCGAAACCATAAGATTACCATACGAAAACCAGAAGAGTACCATGCGAAAACCATAACAGTACCACACGAAAACCATGAGATTACCATGCGAAAAACCATAAGATTACCACGCGAAAACCATGCGAAAACCAGAAATACGATATGCCATGCGAAAACCATGAGGGTACCATACGAAAACCATATGATTACCATTCGAAAGCCATAAGATTACCATGCGCCACCCATAAGATCACCATACGAAAACCATACGAGAGCCATACGAAAACCATAAGAATACCATACGAAAACCAAACGAAAACCATGAACTTACCATACCGAAACCATACGAAAACCTAAGTATACATACGAAAACCAGAATAGTACCATACGAAAACCATCAGATTTTCTACGACCACCAGAGGAATCCCGGAGGCACCCTGGGGCAAACAGAATAAGGTCAACCCCATGCACCCGCAAGTTTATGTATTGCCCGACTGCTTCTTTAATGCGAGTTCAACAAAACTGGCGCTCACCTCACCTGCCCAAACCGTCAGTGCATCTGGGCTCCGTAAGCATGGAGCTCACCCATGCCTTTCACTGAACTGTGTTGCTCATACGCCTTCGTGGCGGATCTTGCTCGTGGGCGTGGGGGCGCGATCCTGTGCGAGTCGCGAAGACAAGACCACAAGCAGAGGTGCACAACGTTCGAGAAGCTGCGCGTATGCGGGGAGTCCGAAAAAAAAGCATGGGGGGAGCGGAGGCCAGGAGTGTGGCATGGCAGGAGGTCGGCGGTGATGTGGCGGGAGGTGTTTTTGGGGCGCGGGCACTTAGGGCTCTGAGGCATTCTCCGTAAGCATCAGACTGTATCCCCAGCGGCTTTTAATAAGGGGAAAACAAACCTACCTCGCTTTTGACCGCCCTCGCTTCCTAGAGATACCAAACGATGCCAAACTACGGCCTGTGCTGGTCAGGCCACTTGGTGAGGAGGAGCGTGGTATGACTTGGTTTTGCCTGGAAGCGAAAGCGGGGTAGGTAATTCACGCTCTGATGTAAGCAAAGCAGAGCAAACAAACAACGCACACCGCTAGGCCTGTACAGCCGACACACGTGCTGTACCTTCACTGCGTACGCCACTGAGGCAGGCCCGCCTCCTGGAGAGAGTCGCCCCATCCGTCGGCATCCTTGAACGAGCCTCCGGAATCTGCCGACGCTCCTGCCGACTCCGCTGACTATCGTCATTTCTGTCCTTACCATCCGTCTGTCATGTTGGATCGGCGTAACCACTCTTCTCCTCTTGAATGTGTGGTCATTGAGGCTGGTATCCACCCTCTTCGCGAGCCTGGCCGACGTGGCAGCAATCTACCCTTTGTTCGGGCTGAGCTCCAGGCCGAGCTCCGCCGGCAGCTTGCGCAACAGCCTGGTGTCTGCGATTGCGATCCTTGCTACTTGGGCTTCTGCGCCGATTGCCTGTAGGCTCCCGTCGTCCACAACCACAGCCATGGTGAGCGAGGGCCACAAGGTGTAGACCTCGTCGCTCGCACCTCGGGTGAATAGCAGCATCATGGTGGTCGAGAAGGCACACCCTGCAATCACACCGTTGTCGACCTGCACGAACTAGGAAACGATGGATCCGAATTTGAGCCCAGGTAGGTGTTGGTGAGTAGCGCCGACCGTCGCATCCGGTCCATGATGTGGCATGCAGGATCTTGTCGAATGCCCTCTTGAGGTCTAGCATCACCGGAACCACATGATCGTTAAGGCCCGTCCAGCCCCTTCCAAGATAGTCGAGTCAAAGCTGTACGTTTTGAACTTCTCTTGGCAGTGGCGTAGCCGAGGAGGAGAAAGGGAAAACGAGGAAGGAAAGGTGGACGAGGGAGGAGGGGAAGAAGCAGGAGGAGGCAGAAGAAGAATGACAGTAGATCAAGAGGAGGATGAGGGTAGGGAGGTCTGGGGGCTCACGCACCGCAAAAAACGAAGCGCCTGATGTCTGGGCTGCGAGAGCCTGCGGTCGAGAGCGACGCCAGAAGACACCCAGGAGGACAGAAGTTTCGTCCCTAGACCTCAAACATCTTCAGAAAAAGCGGCACGGAAATCGTACGTCCACTTCGGCCACTGGGGAAACCCCGCCAGGTCCGAGGACCAGCCAAAACTCCTGAGGATGAAAAGTCGGTTCGTGGGGACGGGGTCGGGACTTCCTGGGGCGCCACATTGAAAGGGCCGCCCACGCTCCGCCGGGAGGATACGAAGCGCGACAGACAGGACACTGGGGCACCCTGGATGTTGCAGGGTCGAACCGTCGGACTACGAATCAGGCCCGACCCTGCTCGGGAATGACATGCGGAGCGAATGGCCAGATTCTCCGGAGGAGGTGCGCAATCTTGGAGCCAGCTTCCGCCTTCTTGACGTCGCCGAGGCGCACATGAGCCACCACGCTGAAGGCCTCGGCTGCGAGACGGGAAGGACGTCGAAGCACAACATAACATCCTCTGGCTCCTCCTCCTGTGGCACTGCGGCACAATAGTCACCACATACACCACGAGGGCAGAGATAGCATCTAGGGCAAAATCGGAGGGAAAACAACAGAACGCAGAGGGGAGAAACGGGCATACTAGGCAAGTAAAACCCCTACGGCATCGCTACGACAGAACGAACTCATCCTCCCCATCCTCCTCCTCCGCCTCCTCCTCCTCCTCCTCCTCCTCCTCCCCCTCCCCCTCCTCCTCCTCCTCCTCCTCCCCCTCCTCCTCCTCCTCCTCCTCCTCTTCCTCCTCCTCCTCCTCCTCCCCCTCCTCCTCCTCCTCCTCCTCCCCCTCCTCCTCCTCCTCCCCCTCCTCCTCCCGATCACCCCTGGCGCCGCCAGCCTGCGCGGGGATCTTCACCTGGTGCCGCAGCGCGGCGAAGCTGACCGGCTGCACGGCCTCCCGCCCGAGTCTCGCCGCCGAGCGCGCAGGGGGGCAGACAGTTCGATCCTGCGCGCTCCAGCCCCGATCGTGCCCCCCTCTCCCTCCCCTCCGAAGTCCCCGCCCCCTCCTCTCCTCCCTCCTCCTCTCCTCCCTCTCCTCCCCCCTCCTCCCCCTCCTCCCTCTCCTCCCCCTCCTCTCCCTCGCCACTCGGCTCCTCCCTCCATTCCGCCTTCTTGGCGGATGGAGAAAAAATGGCCCCAGCAAAACACCTTGAGAGCAGCCAAGGACCTGTGAGACCCGTGTTGTCTGTGGGACCTGTGAAACCTATGGGACATCTGGGAGCTGTGCGACCTGTGGGACCCGGGGGACGTGTGAGGCCTGTGGGACCTGTGGGACCTGAGCGAACTGTGCGTGGGACCTGTGGGACCTGTGAAGCCTGTGAGACCTGTGGGAAGTGTGCGACCTCGCAGAGGCCCCGCCAGACCGCGGCTGGTGAGGGTGCCCTGCCCTGAGACCGCGACCAAAGGAAGCCCTGAGATGGAAAACTCCGATCGCATACACTCTACAGGGGATCGCGGCCGCCCAGACCGAACCTGTGGCTGGCATGCAGACGAGAGCACAAGAGCTGCGGCTGAGTGGGGCTTCTGCTGTCCTGGAACGCTCCTTCCTTCCTCCACCCTGCTGCTCCTTCTCCGCTTCCCTCCTGCGAGATCCACCTCTCCCACAGCAGGGCATTCGAGTACCATGCCCTGTACCAGATGTCGTGCCTCCGCCAGACCACGACAGGCTACTCTAGTACCATGCTTTTTACCAGGGTTCGAGCCCACCCCTCTCCTCCATGGAGGCCCCGCCATATCGCGGCAGAGCAGTCGACCATCATATGTTGTACCAGGTTCCGTGTCCCCTCCCACCCCTCCAGGGAGGCCCCGCCAGACCGCGGCAGGGTACTCGAGCACCCTACTCTTTGTCAAGTGCCGTGCCCATCCCACCCCATCCAGGGAGGCCCCGCAAGACCGCGGCCGGTGAGGGTGCCCTTCCCTGGGCCCGCGACCTAGTGAAACCCTGATGTTGGACACTCTTATAGCAGAATTACACTGGGGTCGTAGCAGTCCAGACCAAAAATGAAGCCAGCACTGAGGCGAGAGCACGGTCCAAGATATTCAGTGTGAGGACGTCTCAGGCGGAACGGCTGCGAGGACAGGGGCGAGAGCACGGCCATGCCCGCGTGTGTTTTGAATTTTGGTCGTGGACATCCGCACCAAAAATGCAGCTGGCACTGAAGCGAAAGCATCAGCCTTGAACAAACGGTGGGAAGGTCTCAAGCGACACGGCTGCGGCACCGGCCGCGGGACCGGCTGCCGGAGTGGCTGCTGGACCGGGCGCTGTCGGGCTCCCCGTCCCCCCTTGTGGGTCTCTTCCGAGGTCGATTTTGCCCTCCTGTAGAGAAGATCTGGAGAAAAGCTATGAGGGAGTCAGCGCAATGGGAAGAGATGGGTGGGAGGGGCAGGATGTCAGATCTGGCGTGAGCGCACCCAGCCTGCACCCGCACTCCACCTCCTCCTCCTCCTCCCCCTCCCTCCTCCCTCCTCCCTCTTCCCTCTTCCCTCCTCCTCCTCCTCCTCCTCCTCCTCCTCCTCCTGTTCCTCCTCCTCCTCTTCCTCCTCCTCCTCCTCCGCCGCCGCCGCCGCTGCCTCCTCCGCCTCCGCCTCCGCCTCCGCCTCCGCCTCCGCCTCCGCCTCCGCCTCCGCCTCCGCCTCCGCCTCCGCCTCCGCCTCCGCCTCCGCCTCCGCCTCCCCTCCCTCCTCCTCCTCCTCCTCCTCCTCCTCCTCCTCCTCCTCCTCCCCTCCTCCTCCTCCTCCTCCTCCTCCTCCTCCTCCTCCTCCTCCTCCTCCTCCTCCTCCTCCTCCTCCTCCTCCTCCCTCCTCCTCCTCCTCCCCCCTCCTCCTCCTCCTCCTCCTCCTCCTCCGCCTCCTCCTCCTCCTCCGCCTCCGCTTCCGCCTCCGCCTTCTCCTCCTCCTCATTCATCATCATCGTTGTTTTTCTTAGTAGCATTATTATTCATAATAGTATCATTATTATTCGTATTATGAGTATTCGTATTAGTAATACTAATAGTATGCTTAGTAGTATCATACTGCCTCTTCTGGTTATTATTCGTACTAAAGTCCTCTTAGTATTGTCCGTATTCTTCTTAGTATAGTATTACTCTTCTTATTCATATTAGTAATATTAGTAGTGTGAGTATTAATCTTCTTAGTACTACTAGAAGTCTTGATACCATTAGTAGCCCTATTATTCTTCGTGCGTTAAATATCCGTAATAATGTGATTATTGTCCGTCATGTGTGTCGTATTAGTTGTCTTAGTCTTGCTATTCGTCTTAGTATTATGATTGATATTATTCGTGTCCGTAGTATTAGTATGATTGGTATGCGTGTTCGCGTTCTGGTTCCGAATATTACTAGTACTATGCGTCTTAGTATTCGCGGTAGCATTAATAGTATGCGGGTTATTCGTGTTACTCTGCTTGTTCATATTATTGGTGTTCGTATTATTCTTATTATACGTAGTATCAATCGGCTTGCTATTATTAGTGCGATTGCCAGTAGTCTTATTATTAGTATTCGTAGTAGTAGAATTCTGATTCGTAGTATCAATATCATTCGTATTAGTAGTATTCGAATGATTATTATTACTATGACTCGCATGGTGCTTCTTATTATGCGTCTACGTATGATTATTAGTCATAGTATACTGATTATTAGTGTTACTGATCTTACTATTAGTCCTCCTCCTCCTCCTCATCCTCCTCCTCCTCCTCTTCCTCCTCCTCCTCCTCCTCCTCCTCCTCCTCCTCCTCCTCCTCCTCCTCCTCCTCCTCCTCCTCCGCCTCCTCCTCCTCCCCCTCCCTCCTCCCCCCCCTCCCCCCCCCCCCCCTCCCCCCCCATTCTCTCCTCCTCCTCCTCCTCCTCCTCCTCCTCCTCCTCCTCCTCCTCCTCCTCCTGCTCCTGCTCCTCCTCCTCCTCCTCCGCCTCCGCCTCCGCCTCCGCCTCCGCCTCCGCCTCGCCTCCGCCTCCTCCTCCTCCTCCTCCTCCTCCTCCTCCTCCTCCTCCTCCTCCTCCTCCTCCTCCTCCTCCTCCTCCTCCTGGCTCAAGACCTGGGCACACCGCGGGAGGTGCAGGTCATAGCATTGCCATCCAGGGCAGGCCCTGGGTGCTGGGGCTCAAGCCTGATAGATCAGCCCCCGTGCCTGCCTGGTCAGCCCCAGGCAGAGGCACAGTCACGTCCCGCCTCAGTGCTGCCATAGGGCCTCTCGTGTGCGTGCGCCAGCGTGCCGCCATCAGGAGATGCCCGTCCAGCAGAAGAAGTACTTGGTCTGCTCGAAGCGTGGCTGTAAAGGCTGGGCTTGGTGCTCGACTAATACTCGTCATTGTATGCAGTGTGGTAGCCGTTTCAAGCAGTGCGGGGATCATGGTCCCCCAGCTCGACCCCAAGGTGGTGGAGGAGGCTCCCAGGATGTTCGGCCTGACGTCGTGGAGGTGCCGCCCAAGCCAGGACGCTGGAGGAAGGGCTCCCGCGGTCCTGAGCGCCCACCAGGCCTGGGGCGCGGAGGCGGCCGATCGGTCACCTTCGAAGATGCAGCTCCCCCTGATGACCCAGTTGCCCTGGCTCAAGCTCAAGTCACCTTCTGGAAGAAGTGGAAGCCAGATGGAGAGGAGCACAAGTCGGCGCTGGGCAAGCTCAAGTTCGCCAAGGCGCAGGCCCTGTCGGCCAAGAGCCTGGAACAGCAAGCGCAGTCCCTGTCTGATCAGCTCCAGGTGCTGCGCCAGAGGTTGCAGTCGCAGAAGCAGGAGGCCAGCGAGCTGGTTACCACTATTGTCGAGGCAAGTGAGCATCACGGCAAGCTGGTCGAGGAGATTGAAGCTAATACAAAAGAAGTGCAGATGCTGGAGACGCAGCTCAATGCGGCCACCCAGGCGGCTGCGTATGAGGCATCTAAAGACGAAGATTTGCTCGCCACCATTCAAGGAGTTATATCCGCCAGAATGCCACAGGGCGGACTGGCCCCACCAGAACTACGTGACAAGGTATCGGAGCTGGCCGTCATGTTCGACAGCTTGCAGCAGCAGCACGTCGCCTCCCAGGCCTCGGTCGCGTCCGCTGGTGTCGGCCCGCCTGCGGTGGCGGCTCCGCGCGGGGTCTTCACCGACGGTTTCCCTGCAGTTGGAGAGAGCCCTGATGATGGCCAGGCAAGTCATGAGCCCGCGCCTATCCCAGGCCAGCACGTCCCCACTCCTGCCGACGACAAGGAGCTGGAGACCATGGCAGAGGCGCAGGCCATGGACACGTCTGAAGGTCGCCGCCGTGCGGCTGCTGCGCTGTCCGACGTCGCCCAGGGCATGGCCAAGATCCAGAGTGAGTCAGGCCCCGAGGCCAAGAAGGTCAAGGCGGCGGCCGAGGCTGCTGCGCTCGCGGCCGCCCAGGACCCGCAGTCGCCAGGGTAACACGTATACGATCGCTACCATCAATGGTTCGTGCTGGCCTGCAGTTCGCAAGTTTGTTCTTTCGCCGCAGTCCAGTGCAGTCAAGATTATCTGTGCTCAGGAGTGTAAGCTTGCCGACGGAGATAGCATTGTGCGTCAGATACAATGGTGCTCGGCCCAGGGGTGGCTGGCTTACATCACGCCTGCAGCCAGGAATGAGAATAATGAGTTGGTTTCGGGAGTTGCGATTTTGATTCGGGATGGCTTGGACTTGGGGGTCCAGCCGATCACTTGTTCCGCCGCTTTCGACCCCGCTCGATTATCGGGGGTGCTTCTCGAACTTCCTGGGGTCCCGAAGCTCGCCATATGTAGTGTCTATTTTCAAGCTGCTGCTGGTCTCTCCGAGACCAATTTAAAACTTCTGGCCGCCATAGGCCAACTTCAGGATGAGTTGACCCATCCAGTTTTGGTTGCGGGGGATTTTAACCTGGCCCCCTCTCGGTTGGTCCAAGCAGAGTTCCTGTCCAGGTCC